CAGTTCAATCTCCACATGGTACAGCAGACCTCTCTCTCCTTTCTCACCTGCTGCTCCCCTCAGCAGTATATTTCAGTAGATCTACCTGTTCTGCTCCTCATGCTGTCTCTGGTGAATCTTTTTACCCCTACACCTCTGGCCTGTACCCTAGTTCTTGTATGCATAACTAAATAAACCTTTTGGGATAAAAATGTTGATAAGGGAGGTGCATAAGTTGAAACTCCTAGAGGGCAACAGAAATGCATCCAAAAATATCACAAATGGCAGTTTGTTACCTGGGATCTTCCATGATGATTATGGCTTAGGCAGAGCTGGATCCAGAAGCTTGAGTGATAGGATCACATTCTGTTGTACTGTTTTTTTCCTACTAGTGAAGATCCCTGTCTGCCTGGTAGGGAATGTGAATGTCAGTGCCATGACCAGAATCTGGTTAGCAACCCCGATGGGAATAGGGCATTTTTCTGTGAATGTCATATTTGCATCCCAGAAAAGAAAAGTCAACCTGGTCTGGGTCATGACCCATAACCCACTAGGCTGACCCTAGGATGGACCCTAGGATGGAAATAGAGGAGGAAAGGACCTCAAGCCAAGGGGGAGACACATACTTAAAAAGGGGAGAGGAAGATTTTATTTCCAAACTATTTTTATGTTAATAGAAGTCATCCATATTGAGATCTAGAGGTATTTTTTAAATATATGAAGAAAACCGATTGGGGCTTCCCTGGTGGTGCAAGGGCTTAAGTCACAGCACTATCAAGCTATCACCAACCACCATATGAGTTCAATCCCTGGCACAGGGAGCTGACCCACATGGTGCAGCAGGCCTCTCCTGTCTCGGAGCTGCTTCCTCAGCAGTGTGGAGATCTGTCTGTAGATTTCTACAGTAGATCTACCTGATCTGCTCCCCACTCTATCTGGTGAATCCTCCAATCCCACCCCCAAACCACTTCCCACATGGACACCTCTGGCCTATACCCCAGACCTTGTATGCATAAATACATAAAAATAAATCATTTTTTAAAATCTGAAAAAAAATCTAGAATTATTTCTCTATTGATTAATTTTTGTTTTGGTATTGGTTCAAATGAGGAGTTTATAGTATTTACAAAAGCATTACTATAAAATGATAACTAGAACTCTTTCATTTGTCAAAGTGCAGCCTTTTAGCAAGAGTTATTTGTAGAAGGAGCAAATCTGCTTCTGATCTAAGTCCACCCAGAGGCACACAGGCTTTTTGGACCAATTATTACAAGACTTTGAGATAAATCACCTCCTGTGCCATTAGTATTTGAAGGATTATCGGCCTCAAAGATTTATGTGGGGATTAATTGGGGAGTGCACATAAGCTCACTGGTGTTTAGAGCCACAGTCATCCTGCAAATCATTTTCACTAGTGCTTTATTTAAAATTCTTTAGCCTCATAATACTGATGTTGCCACAGAATCTAAATGAGCTTCTCGTTATTTATTAATATTTATGGTTTGCCCTCCCCTATTCCTCCCCACTGTAGAGTTGAATAGTTGTAGCCAGGGATACACGGAGCATCGAAAGGCAAAGCGGCTTCCAGTATTGCAGAGATTACTTCTGTTACTTCCACTGAACAGTGCCTGAAGTTTGCATGGCCTTGTTCTAAGATAGACAAGATGAGGTACAAGAAATACATGAGTATTCTGGAAGCAGCAGTTGGTATCACCCCACTTAACAAAAGAGAACTTCTACCTGAGAGCAGAAGACATGTGAACCTTTGGCAGTACCCTGGGTAAGCAAAGGCCAGAGATGGGGGTTTTGGGGGCCTAGAAGGATGAAAGGGTCATCTCTGCCATAGAGGAACAGATATTGAGTGTTTCATTGAGAACTTGTTTCTTCCTGATGGATGTGGTTTTCCCAGACTGATTGTCATGGTTACAATACTCTAAGAAAATTCCTGGTTTAACAACCAAGAAGATGATGAAGTAATGGGTGTGTCTAGAGCTAATTTTTAATCCAGATATTTAATTTTTTTAACCTGGTTTACATATGTTGCAACTCTTGAAAATGTGCCATTTTCCTCCCCTATAATACAAAATATTTTTCTGATTAAAGTGCATGTGCACATTGTGGGTTAGGTGAAGACTTCTCTTGAAACAACAGTTTTTATCTCACATCTCTTTCTGAAGTCCCACTGATATATAATGTTGAAGAAAGGTTTAGATGTTCTTTTCTGAATGTCATAGGCCTCCGTGCTGACTTTCTTCTCTGAAGTCCCTCTCGTTCTTTTACAAACTGAGGAGAGTTCTAACCCTAGAGCCTGTATGATAGATAGCATATTTATGGACTGAATTTAATTTTTAAACTGAATGAGCCACACATTGTTACTCCCCCAAGGATCAATTAAAGATATCTGTTAGCTACTGATATTTCTTTTGAAAAAGTAGAGTACTGTTGCTTCACAAGGATGATAAAAAACACATTGCAGTGACTAAGTTGTAATTCTTCATGTACTCCCTGGAGACTGGAAATACTGTAGTGTGGTCTTTTGTCCCAGAATGACAGGAACTTAGAGCTGGGAGGCTTTTTTGTTAAGGACACCAAATAGGTTTCATGTGGCTTGCCAAAACCAGTGAGTGGGTGGGTTACTTGGAGTGTTAACTTAGGGAGGACCCTCAGTCCAAGTCTAAGTTTAGCAAGAAAGGAACACTAATTGATAAGGGATGTTTGTTCTGCATACACAACTGGATAATGGGGAGCTTTACTATGTGGTTTATCTCTTTATTATTCCTTAGTTGTAGCTTGGTCTTTGGATTTTGCAGTCATGAAACTCAGCCTCCTTTGGGTCATCATGATCTAGTGCTTGGCTCTCAGACAGCAACTGGATGTTCTTAGTTTTTGGCTCAGGATCATTCATTAATGGATTCCCCCTAAACAAACTTACAAGATTCAGATGTGTAAACTGATTGCCAAATTATTCATTTCTCTTTGGAGACAGATAACCTTTCCCAGCAGTTGAAACAAGTAAGTACTCTAAATAGAACCATCTCTGCTTCTCCTCACTTCCCAAGTCAGGCTAAACAGAAGTCAAATTATTCATTTCAAAGTAATCCTTAAGAAGGGTATTTGAATCTTCCTTTTTTTTTTTTTAATGAGAACTTTACATTAAGCTTCTGAAATATTATGGCCTTGTAGGACAACATTTTCCTATATCTGTAATACTTTGTTTTCTTTAAATATATCTAGACAGAAATGTTGCTTTGTACATCCTCATTTTTTGTTTGTTGCCATCATTGTCACCTGACAGTATTAATATCTCTCACTGAGCTTGGACATACTCATATCCTTCACTAATCTGTAGTAAGCTCTCCTTTCTGGGTTTCCTAGGAGAGGTGTCTCCTGCTGATTAACCTCATTAAATCCTTCAGAGGCACCTTGATGTCTTATTTTTCACACTGTGAATGAATCCCTCTGTTAAAATGAATGTTTTAATTTTCTACCTATAGTGGGGCCTAGGAGGCTGCATTTTAATAAGTTTCTGAGTGATACTTTCAGCCTAGGCCAGGCCCACTGGATGTCCAGGTGATGCTAATGGCCCCTCCATCAGCAGTGGTAGGCCCTCAACAAAAATTTGTGAGTGCTGGGGCCTCTGTAGTGGCACAGGGGTTAAATCTCAGCACTATCAAGCTATCACCAGCCACTGTGAGCATGAGTTTGATCCCTAGCCAAGGAGCTGACCCACATGGCACAGCAGACCTCTCATATCTCTCCTGCTGCTCCCCTTAGTAGTGTATTTCAGTCAACCTGCCTGTTCAGCTCCCCATTCTTTCTGATGAATCCTCTCACCCACTGCACCTCTGGCCTACACCCCAGTTCTTATAAAACCTTGCTAGTACTTACTATATTTCATTGTAGCCATAAATGAAGGAAAACATCTGAAAAAGGAATTTATATCTAAACACAAAATACCTTTTATGATTTAGTCCAGTTTTCCAATGCAAGTCCTGTTACCTGAAATCTGTCAATACTATTGAAAACCGTGAATATAATTTAATTCTTTCTGTCAGGGTTTTTTTTTTTTTCTTAATTTAGAGGAGGCTCTAATCAATAACGGTGTATTTTAGAAATGGCTAATTGTTACTGGTGGTTCCTACATATGTGGAAAACCTCAGGAATATTATAAAGGAAAGTTAAAACCAGAATGTTTTAGAAATGCAGGGAAATGGGCCCTCCCTGGTGGCACAGTGGGTTAAAGTGCAACACTATGAAGCTATCTACAGCCATGGCAGCATGAATTCTGTCCAGCCCCGCGGTGACCCATATGGCATAGCAGACCTCTCTTGACCCACACACTGCACCCCTCAGCAGTGTATTTCAGTAGATCTGCCTTTCTGCTCCCCACTCTGATGCTGGTGAATCCACTCACCGCCCCCCCTCCCCACCCCACGTCTCAACAACTGGCAGTTCTTGTATGCATAAATAAATAAATCTTTAAAGAAAAAAAAAAAAGAAATTGCAGGGAAATAGTTTAAAAAGCAAATGGTTCCAATGAAATAAAAACGTTGTCTTTGGAACTGATACCTGTTGAAAAATTTCATGCTAAGTCCAAAAGCATAACCAAGTCCATCTAGATTTGTTGGTCATTTATTTATCTTTGGAAGTAATAACAGAAGCCAGAAGCCACTCATGGGCGGGCTCCAATTCTGTTGCTTGCTTTGTAGGATGTCCAGATAGCCTTGCTTTCACCAGTGTCTACATTTCCTGCTGCTCTTTAGAGAAGGGAAATGTGTCCCCTGCCTGTACAAATAAAAACGACACTATCTTTATTTCTGTTTCATTGTGTAGGGTGTATTTTGCACTGATGTCACAATATGACTTTGTTTCGCAAACAGAAGAATGTGCCTGGAACTGGTGAGAAGCCACATTCTTCCTCCCACTGCACATGTCCCCTATGACTCTGCCCCTCGTGAAGCTGCCTCCTCCTTGTGCTATTTGAAGGGCACGTACAGGATTAAAATGTCCAGATGGAATAGTTCTTGGATTTTCTTGGGATGCAGGGCTAAAACAAAAAGTATTTGCTATTTTTTTTCTGGTTAAGGGTCACCCATACATATAAATAAGGTAAGCCAGTATTATAAATGCTTTGAAAAATGAATTTCCTTTAGTAAAGGCTTTCTCTATTGTCTACTTTAAAATGGTAAATTATATGTTGTGTAATTTTTCACAATTAAAAGTTTTCTCTAGATACTCTAGATTTACTCTTATTTACTTATGCATACAAGGACTGAGTGTTGTGGGGAGTAAGAGCATTTACCAGAGAGAGTGGGGAGTCGAAAAGTGGTTCTTGCCTGCTGAGGGGAGCAGCAGGCAAGACAGGAGAGGTCTGCTGTGCCATGTGGGCCACCTCCCTGGCCACGGAACAGACTCATGCGTACAGTGGCTGTTGATAGCTTGATAGTGCTGAGACTTTAAACTTGTGCCATCAGGGTGGCCCTGGAGATGATTTTTAAAAGGAGCAGGATTTCTTTTCTAACAGAGTGAAATGTTCTAAAATAGACTGTAGTAATGGTTTCCGGACTCTGAAGATACTGAAAACAAGGCTGCAAATGAAATGAACATACAATATATGAACTTGAGCACATATCCCAAGATCTCACCTTGCTGGGAATGATCACTTGGATTTCTAACTGAACTATCTATTTCAGGGTGCGGAGAGCCACACTGCTATCGTCTCCCTGTGAGTGGGACTGGCACGTCCGCAGCACTTCCTGCCACGAGTCTGCATCAACACACAAACGTGGGTCGGTGGACCGCCCGCCTCATCAGGTACTTGCTTTTTTGTCTCTCATTGACCTGGTTACTGGCTTTGTTCCATCTAAAGTTTGATGGGACAAACTTTACCTTTTTTTATGTTACTGAGAAAGAAATTGTTGGTATCAAGGAACATTTAATTGTAGTGTCCTACTTATGAATACTATGCTGAGGCTCAGAGTAAATGCCTAGTGAGCGATTTTAGTGTCTCAGGTTATAGATCATTCTTGTGGGTCATATTTTTTCCATTATCTTGCAGTAGTAGAATTAAATAACGGTGGAAAACACTTGCTGAGCATATAAAGACATCAGTCACACTGTTTTCTAAGGATTAATTATGTACACACTTTTAGTGAGAGAGCTAAGAGTGAGCATTATCTATTTACTGATTCAATTTTAAGTATGAATTAAGTGAGATTTACAAGGTATTAAATTTTATTTTGACAGATGCTGGGATATATTTATTCTTAGTCTCACTTTAACCCCTGATTATAGGTCAGTTCATGGCTTGCTGGTATGTGGTTGGATTTTTTTTTTTCATTCACTAGTTTCATGATTCCCATCTATTTAAGCTTACAGCCCCTGCCTGGGTAGATTCCAGCTACTATCAGAGCAGGAGTTTAGTGGAGTATGACTAGCATACCGCTATTCTTCAATCCCAATGCTACTATCTTCTAATTGTGTGCTAAGGGGCACATATATGAATGTTTCTGAGTCTTAGGTCCTACATCTATAAACAAGGGAGTACCACAGTAAGACCATTTGCTAAAATTAACTAACAATATAATAGTTATTGGTAATTACTAAAGGCTTTCCACTTAAGATTAGAAACAAGACAAGAATGCACACTGTCCCATTTCTGTTCAGTTTAGTCATTCATGTTTGGCCAGGGCTAACAGATTAAAAACCAGAAGATAAAGGGAATCTGAGTTGGAGAAGTAAAAGTATCACCAATAAAGACTATCAAAAAGCTACTAGAACAATAGATGAATATTACAAAGTTATAGCATACAGAATTAATATATAAAAATCTGTAGCATTTTTATATACAAATAACAAATAAGAAAAGAAAATCAAAAAAGAACTCCATTTACAGCTACCTGCCTCAGGGGCTCCCTAGTGGTACAAGGGGTTAAGTAGCAGCATTATGAAGCTATCTGCAGCCACTGCAGCATGAGTTACATCCCTGGCCAGGGAGCTACCCACATGGCATAACAGACCTCTCATGTCTTGCCAGCTGCTCCCCTCAGTAGTGTTTTTCAGTCAATCCACCTGTTCTGCTCCCCACTCTCTGTCTCTGATGAATCCTTTCACTACCAACCCTTCCCCTCACTTCTGGCCTATACCCCAGTTCTTATGTGCATAAATAAATAAATCTTAAAAAAAAGAAAAACTACCTGCCTCAAATAGAATGAAAGACCTCAGAATTAAGGAAGTGAAGGACATTACAATAAGAGCTACAAGGTGGTATAAAAGGACTTAGTGACATAAGGAGATGGAAGGACATCCCATGCTCATGGATGGAGAGTATCAAAATCAACATAATCACAATGATTATTCTGCCTAATGTCATATATAAATTGAAGGAAATTCCCTTCAAAATACCAATAATAGTTTTCAAAGAAATTGAAAAAAATAGTTGAAATTTGTATAGAACCATAAATGGGCAACCATCCAAAGAACATGAAACCCTCCTTATAATTTGCTTATTGATTCAAAAATTGTACTTTTCCTCATCTATATATTTTCCCTTAATTTTCTAGGCATTCTTAAATACCTTATTTCTCTTTTAAACCTTACAACTGCCTTCCATGCAGCAGGATTATCACCTCCCCTTGACAAATGGAGAAATCACGACTGGAGTGTACTATTTGCCAGGGACTTTTTCTTGCCTCTTTGAGGGACTTTGGTGATCCTTTTTCTGATGTGGCAAAACCACCTTTGCCTCTTTGTTGTCAGCAGGCATGTGAGCATCTGGGAAGAACTTCTTTTCCTAGATGTGGATTTTCATTATCATGTAACTTAGGTACCTTAGAATTGTCACTGACTCAACTCATAATAGGGCTTAGGAAATTGAGTTGAAAGTGAAAACTTACAATTTTTACTTCTGTGCACCTGGGAGAACCCTCTCCCCTTGGGGAAATCCTCAGAGCCTCAGTAGGAATAGTTGGGGGATCACACCAATAGCCAGACCTTCTTATATTAAATTTTGTGAACCCAGAGCTTTAGTTCTCAAACTTTAGCTAAATCAGTTAACCTGAAGGGATCGTGAAAACAAATTTCTCCCTGGGTCTGACCTCCTGAATTTCTGTTTCTAGCAGTTTAGGGTGAAGTCCAGGAATTTCTAAAATACTCTCAGCGGACAGTAATTCTGATTCCAGGACCACCCTTTTGGAATCACTAACCCAGAAATTACTTGCATTAGCTGATTTAGAGCACAGACTAGTTCATAGGTATGTATTGTTAGTTTCCCTACCTGTGGGAATGGGGGGAGGGGGTGCTTCCTCTTTTTTTTTTTTTTTAAGATTTATTTATTTGTGCAGCATATAGGCCAGCTGTGAAGGGACAGTGAGAGGATTCACAAGGGACAGAGTGATGAGCAGAACAGGCAGATTGATGAAGTGCACTGTTGAGTGGAGCAGAGGGCGAGACAGGAGCAGTCTGCTGTGCCGTGTGGGTCACTTCCCTGGCTGGTGATTGAACTTCTGTTGACCTGCTGAGGCTTTGGCTGGCTAGCTTTTTAGCGCTGCATTTTAACTTCTTGTGCCAGCAGGAAGGGACCAGATTCTTCCTCTTAATGAGCAACACACATAGTATAGCCTGCCACTGAGGAAAATTTAGAAGATTATGAAGGCTTATCACTGGGTATTGGGAGTCTAATTTAGAATCTTTAATTGTATTGCTGTGTGAAAAGAGCTGCATTCACAGTGGATGTGAGCAGGAGGCCTGCGGGGACTAAGTGAGGTGATATTTGAGTGGAAATGCACCCTCCACTCCCCAACAAACACATAGCTTTGTTTTGGTCCACTGGGGTATTTTATTGGTGCTTCTATTTTATATTCCTAGAAAAATAATTCCAAGATTTTCCTTTCTGTGTTTTTGGCTTGCTTCTGTATGATCTGTAATGTCAGCTGAAGTTGTTAGTACAATGAAGATAAAATGTTGGTCAAAGATTAAGTCGAAGGGCCCTATGATGCTGCATTAGACTGGAGGAAAAGTTAACCATGTTGTGGTGAGAATTCCATTGTAATTCCAATGTGAAAGGAAATACTAGCTTATAGTAATAACAATGAAAGCTGTTTATTTGGGTGCTTATTACAGTGTGGTTGGTACTTTGCTAAGCCTTTGACCTGCATTGTCTAACTTAATTCTCACACCCACCCTCTGAAGTATGGGTCCAATTACAATCCCAATTTATAGGAGTTTCCTGGGGCCGTAGTAAAAATAGACCTGATGGCTAATAACAACAAAACGTATCATCTCACAATTCTGTAGACTCTTAAGTCTGAAATGAAGGTGCTGAAGTTTACGAGGGAGGGTCTGCTCCAGACCTCTTTTCTTGGCTTATGAACAGATGGTTGTGTTCCCTCTAAGGGTGTGTGTCTCTGTCCCAAGTAACACCCCTTCCCCCTCCACACACCTTTGTTTTAGTCCGCTCAGGTATTGTACCTGTGCATATATTTTATATTCCTAAAAAAAGAATTCCAGGATTTTCCCTCCTGTATTTTTTGTCTTGCTTCTATATGGCCCATTGTCAGTTGAAGTTGTGAGTATAATGAAACCATTTAACAAAGGTTATTCTGCCATTTTTCTAGATCTTTGAGTTCCACATCAAATCTGTGGCTGATCACTCCATACTTGTTTAACCTGCTGTGAGGTTCACAACAATTTTCCCAGCTCTTTCAAAATCATCAAAGTAACCCTGCTTCATCATCATAGCTGGCAATGAGGAGCACACTTAATGGGAGCCGGCTGTATGCTTCTCTCCTCCACGTTGTAGATGCTCATGAGAACATCAGGCAGTACATTGACACGCACCATTGTGGGGGCACAGAGCCAAATTTCCCCCTTTCTATGACAAGAGTCACATTGGATTAGACCCGCCCTGAAGACATCAGTCACCTGAACGTGATTACCTCTGTAAAGGCCCTGTCTCCAAAGAAGGTCCTTTTCTGAGGTAATGAGGCTTAGGTCTTCAACATATATTGAGAGGGCACAATATAACCCATAACACCATGTTACAGTTCAAGAAATGGAAGTTTTGAGAGTTCAGATAAGCTGCCCAAGGATCACAGTCAGTAGACCAAACCAGGCAAATTGCCATTTTTATAGGTTAAAAATAGCCGAATACACTCTAGCCCTCACTTAACAGAGGCTGTGGGTCCTTGGAAATTGCTGTATTTAGAGAAACTGCTTTTAAGAAAACCAGCTCATTTTGTTTTATGTCAACGGGGATTTTGTTTTCTTTCTTTTTTTAATACACCTTATCTCCTTTTATTTATTTACTTTTAAAGATTTATTTTCTTATGCATACAAGAACTGGGGTACAGATCGTAGGGGTTGGAAGTGAGAGAGGGTTCATTAGAGACAGATTGGGGAGCAGAACTGGAAGATTGAAAGACCTTGCTGAGGGGAGCAGTAGGTGAGACAGGAGAAGTTTGCCACACCATGTGGGCCAGCCCCCTCGACAGGAAATGAACTCATGTTTCAGTGGCTGCTGGTAGCTTCCTTGTGTGTGCTCCAACCCAATGAGCCACCAGGATGGGCTCCATTTTTTTTTTTTTTAACTTTTTAGAAAACACGTTGAATGACCCACTATTTTTTCATACACAACTGTGGTTCAGTGTTATATGTTCATCCTAATGAACAGCATAGTTGAGACCCAGGTCTATCTGATTTCACCAAGGTGCTCTTGCCCTTGGTTTTTTTTTTTATGACTTCTAGAATTTTCTTTGTTTCTGCCTTGTTTTCTCAGTATTCACTGGGAAAAGCAGTGGTGTGGTGCTCAGAAGCCC